AATACCATGCTATTTTTGTTACTATTATTCTGTAGTATAGTTTAAGTTTTGGTATAGTGATGAGTCCTGCTTCACTCTTCTTGCTAAGGATTGCTTTAGCTATTCTGGGTTTCTTATTTTTCCAGAAGAATTTCATGACTGCTTTTTCTATTTCTATGAGGAATGACATTAGGATTTTGACTGGAATTGCATTAAATCTGTATAGTGCTTTTGGAAGTATGGTCATTTTGACAATATCAATTCTGCCTATCCAAGAGCAAGGTAGATCTTTCCATCTTCTAAGGCCTTTTTTGATTTCTTTATTTGGTGTTCTGTAGTTTTCATTGTAGAAACCTTCACCTCTTTCACTGATTCCCAAGTATTTTATTTTTTTGAGGCTATTGTAAATGGGGTAGTTTTCTTTGTTTCCCTTTCAGAGGATTTGTCACTGATACACAGAAATGCCTTTGATTTATGGGTGTTCATTTTATATCCTGCTACTTTGCTGAATTTATTTACTAGTTTTATTTACTAGAAGTTTTCTGATGGAATTTTTTTGGGTCTTCTATTGTCAGCAAATAGTGCTAATTTGAGGTCTTCTTTTCCTATTCATATCCCTTTATTTCTTTTGTCTAATTGCTCTGGCCAGTGTTTCAAGAACTATGTTTAATAGAAGTGGTGAAAGAGGGTATCCCTGTCTTGTTCAGTGTTTAAAGGGAATGTTTTCAATTTTTCTCCATTTAGAATGATGTTGGCCTGGGGCTTAGCATATATAGCTTTTACAATGTTGAGATATGTTCCTGTTATCCCTAGTTTTTCTAGTGTTTTGAACATGAAGGGGTGCTATGTTTTGTTGAATTCTTTTTCTGCATCTATTGAGATGATCATATGATTCTTATCTTTAAGTCTACCAATGTGATGAATTACATTTATTGATTTCCATATGTAGAACCAACCTTGCATCCCTGGGATGAATCCCCCTTGATTATTGTGCACTATCTTTTTGATATGTTTTTGTATTCGATTTGCTAGAATTTTATTGAGAATTTTTGCATCTGTGTTCATTAGAGATATTGGTCTGAAGTTTTCTTTCTTCAATATGTTTTTGCCTGGTTTTGGAACCAGGGTCATATTGTTCTGTTTAGTCATACATGACATATTATACATGTATAATTACACATGTATTTTAACATATTATACATATATGGAGTATAACTTCCCCTTCTTGTGGTTGTACAGGATGTGGAGTTACAACTGGTTGTGTGTTCATATATGAAAATAGGAAAGTTATGTCTAATTCATTCTACTCTCTTTCCTATTACCATCCCTCCTTCCTTCCCTTCATTCCCCTTTGTCTAATCCAATAAACTTCTGTTCTCCTCCCCCCCATTATTGTGTATTAGCATCTGCATATCAGAGAGAACATTTGGCCTTTGGTGTTTTGGGACTGGCTTATTTCACTTAGCATGATAGCCTCCAGTTCCATCCACTTACCAGCAAATGCCATAATTTCATTTTTATGGCTCAGTAATATTCCATTGTATATGTGCCACATTTTCTTTATCCATTCATCTGTTGAAGGGCATCTAGGTTGGTTCCATAGCTTAGCTATTATAAATTGACCTGCTATAAACATTGATGTGACTGAGTCAGTACAGTAAGCTGATTTTAAATCCTTTGGGTATAGACCAAGCAGTGGGATAACTGGGTCTAATGGTGGTGGTTCCATTCATTTTCTGAGGAATCTCCATACTGCTTTTCAGAGTGGTTGTACCAATTTTCAATGTTGAGAGCCACAGCCGAAGGGGCCCCAGCAAACTTCCAGCTGCCATCTGATTGGCTCCTCTGCGGTGATGCTCATTGGGCTGTTTCCCCGCCCTTTCAGACCATGGAGCTGCTCATTGGGGGACTCTTTTGGCTCCGCAAATGCGACCCAGCCAATCGGCCTCAAGAGCAGGAGGAGTGGGGGGGGGGGGTTGAGAGGCTTGTGGGTAGCCGGTGGTGGCAGTTGGGCTCTGAGGGAGTTCCTGAAGAGCTTGTGTGCTTCCGCGTGTGTGTTCTAAAAATAAAGTTCGTTTCTGCTTGAATTGTGCCCAGCCAGACTGCGGCATTTTGCTTTTCAGAGTGGTTGTACCAATTTTCAATCCTACCAACAATGTATGAATATACCTCTTTCACACATCCTTGCCAACATTTATTATTAGTTGTATTCTTGATAACTGCCATTCTGACTGGAGTAAGATGAAATCTCAGTGTATTTTTAATTTCCATTTCTCTAATTACTAGAGATGTTGAACATTTTTCCATATATTTGTTGACTTCTGTGAAGTATCTGTTCTTTGCCCATTTATTGAATAGCTTTTCTTTGTGTGTGTGTGTTTTTTAAGTTCTTTGTATATCCTGGAGATTAACGCTCTACCTGAGATGCAGGCGGCAAAGATTTTCTTCCATTCTATTGGATCTCTCTTCACATTCTGTTTCCTTTTCTGTGAAGAAGTTTTTTAGCTTGATACCATCCCATTTATTGATTCTTGATTTTATTTCTTGTGCTTTAGGGGTTTTGTTGAGGAATTTGGCTTCTAAGCTGACATGATGGAGATTTGGACTTACTTTTTCTCCTAGTAGTCGCAGGGTCTCAGGTCTAATGCCTAGGTCCTTGGGGATATTTGTTTTTGCTACTAAAGGGCAAATGATTCTGCTAGCTCCCAAGTTTAGCTAATTCTTTTTTTTAAAAAAAAAATTTCTAGTTGTAGTTGGACACAATACCTTTATTTTATTTATTTTTTATGTGGTGCTGAGGATAGAACCCAGGGCTTCACACGTGCTAGGTGAGTGCTCTACCACTGAGCCAAAAACCAGCCATAGCTAATTCTTTAACTTGAAGAAAAAATCTTTTTTTTTTTTTTTAATCCTCTGGCAACTTGTTTGGTATTGGCATGAAGCTATGTATTGTTTCTGGGGCAGTACAAGCTCTCTAGGCATATTTAAATACAGAGCCATTTTATTTATTTATATTTTGGTACCTGGGATTGAACCACTGAGCCACACCCCCATCCCTTTTTTTGTATTTTATTTAGAGAAAGAGTCTCACTGAGTTGCTTAGAGCCTCACTAAGTTGCTGAGGCTTGCTTTGAATTAGAGATCCACCTGCCTCAGCCTCTCTAGCCACTGGTATTACAGCCATGGGTCCCCATACCCAGCAATACAGGGCTATTTTTATGCAGTGCTGGAGATCAAATCCAGCACCAAAGATATCTCTGCAAACAGTTTCCCAAACACCTTCAGATTCATGCATGCTAATATCACTGAGTTATGTACCCAGAACCTTTGAGTCAGGGTCTCATTAAATTGCCCAGGCTGTCCTGGAATCTCAGATCTAATCCTCCTGCCTGAGCTTCCAAGTAGCTGATCTCACAGGCATATCCCACCCATGCCTGTTTGTATATATTGTTTTTAGCTAGTGAATTAAACTGTGCTCTCTTCAACTCTATATAATATAGAAATATAGAGACTCTAGCAGGCCCATGCTTGTAATACCAGTGGCTGGGAAAGCTGAGGCAGTAGGATCAGAAGTTCAAAGCCAGACTCAGTAATTTAGCAAGGCCTTAACAACTTGAAGACCATGTCTCAAAATAAAAACTTTGGCTCAGGGGTTAGTGCCCCTGGGTTCAATTCCTGGCACCCAAAACAAAACAAAACAAACAACAACAACAACAAAAACCCAAGAAAGAGCCTTCAAAGATAATTTTGAGTCAATCATGCCAAAGCTATTAACAATAAAAATCAAAAAATTTAAACAAAAGTTGGCTATATAGGGAAAGACACCGAGAGGAAGCTTGGATTTAGATTACTGGTCCAATTATTAGCTCATTAAAAATAAAAACTCCTGGGACCTCAAGAATAATGTCTGTCTCCTGAGTCCCCCCCCCCCCTTAAATTTACAGGCTTTTATGCATAAAACTTAAAAACATAGGATTTCTCAACCATTTCTTACAGGTTGTGTATTAGGCACAGATGATTCAAACTGCTGTTCTAGTACCTCATCTGCCAACTTTATCTTCCTTGCTTTGCTTGCCAGAAGGAAAAAACATGAAATTATCTTACTCTCTGCTCAGCAACTGAGAAATGCTTTGGGTAAAAGTAGATTTAACTTGGATCTTAGGAGAAATATACAAAGATTTTAGCTTTCACCTCTCATTTATTTGGCACCTCAGATCTAATAAGGGCTTTTATGCTGGCTTTTAAATTTGAGCCTCAAAACCCTGATTTAAAAAGGGTATTCATTCATTCAACAAATTTTACTGCTTGCTTACTACGTGCTGTTGTAGGCTCTGGCAAAACACTAGGTAGGAAAACAGAAAAGTAGGAAAAAAAAAATAGGAAGTCCCACTCGCCTGAAACTTTTCTTTTAGTGGGGGAGAAACCAATGTTAAAAAAGGACAGGGCAGACTGGAAGAATTTCGTCTTTTGCGTGACAGGGGAGCAGAGCGTTTGGAACCGAGGGCAGTTTAATTGACCATTTTACAGATAAAATAAGAGCCGACTTCGCAGTAGTTGCACGGCTGGCGCTTTAACGACTCAATGGCGGGCTTGCCATTTAGGTCCACGGGTGGGGGGGGGCGAGGAATAATTAACAGGAGGTGGGCGTTGATTTGGGGACTTTAGTCCAGGGATTCGAGAAGGCAGAAACGAAGAGTGATAAGATGAATTCAAAAGGAAGCAAACTATTCACACCAAAACAGAAACGTCAGACCCCCACACGCAGAGCTACGCCAGAGTCTCCTGGAGCCCTACGGAGGCATTTGTCCCTAAACACACTTCGGCGCCGCAGACTCTGCCCTAAGTCTACTAGGACGCCGGGGGTGAGGCTCGGGCGGGCGCTGCCACCCGGAACCGGACCTGCCGGAGTGCGGCCGCGCTCCCCGCCCCGCCAGCCGCTGACCGCCCCGGTTGGCCGCGGTGGGGGCGGTGGCCGCGGTACCCGGAAGTGCAGCTGACGTGTCCCGGCCGCGCGCGGAATTGTGGGCGCCTCGGCTAATGGCGTCTGCGAGTCTAGGGAGTCTGGGGAGCCAGCGCTGAAGCTTCTTGCCAGGTTGGCTGGTGACGCCCGGTGTGGCGGGGCCCCGCAGCCGTGGGACGGACGTGCCCACCTTGTGGGCTCCTGGGCCAGCGCTGGCGGAGCCTAGCGAGACTGGGCGACTGCGGGGGCGCTTCCGAGAGGAGCCGGGGGTGTTAGAAAGAGGCTGCGGGGGGCGCTCGGGCACGCTCCGGGTTCGCAGCCCAGGCCCGGCAGAGCCCCTGTGGAGCCCAAGAGGCGGGCTGAGGAAGGGCTGGAGGCGACCCAAGGAGTTGACAGTGCCACAGCTTATTTGTGTGGCTCTGAAATTAGCTCGGACCTTGAGTGATCATGTCTGGCACCAACAGCCCCGAGGCGGTGAAGAAGCTGCTGGAGAATATGCAGAGCGACTTGCGGGCCTTGTCACTGGAGTGCAAGAAGAAATTCCCACCTGTCAAGGAGGTAAGCTTCGGGCGACGTCGGGAGAAGGCGCCGCGAGCTTGCTTGGTCCTCTTAGACCCAGTCCTTCTCCCTCAGCCTCCAGTCCGGTCTTGATTTTCATTTGTCGCTCACCTTTGCAGGTGATTTGTACCGACTTTTTATAGTGTCCGAGAGAGAGGTCTGGGGCGATTTGATTCTTTTCCACTCTCTTGTCCTCCTGATTTAAGAATGAAGTTGATGGAGTGAGCCAATTCAGTAATTCAGCTTTTCGGGTCTTTTTCAAACTCGGGACAGGCCAAGCCAGAATTGAAAAACTTATATGTCTGTTTCTCGTTCCTAAGAATGAATATCACTGTTGTGAAATCTGTGCTTCTCACTTGTATAGTATAACACTCGATTGGAAACTGCTTTCCTTGTTGATATGTGTCATTCAGCTTATCTCTTATCAATCCCATGAACTATTAACGAATTATCCAGACCCACCTAATTTATAGACAGTGTTGATACCTACAGGAACCATGTTAATTAAACCTTCTTGTTATGAGCAGTACCGTGGCGGGCAATTGGGTTTGGAGTCAAAGCAAATGGACCTGAATTTAAGTTCTAGCCTTACATCTTACTTAACCTCTTGGAGCTTCAAAAAAAATTTTTTTTTCAGCTGTAAAACGGGTAAAATGTGGTTATATAAGATTATGTGTGGCAAAAGGTCAGATTAAAAGGGTGTTGTTAGATAGCTGGTTAAAAATTTACACAAATAAAAGTTCCAAATAGTTCCTGAATTGAATTTAAAATTTAATCACTATTGGCTTTTTTTTTTTAATTAAGATGCCACTTAATTATTTTAAATTTTAAAAAGATCTAAAATTTCCTTTTTTTTGAATGACATTTCAGTGATATTGTAAAGGTAATTATTTAATTTCTATTTCTATTAAATATAGTTTTGAATACCTGCAGTTTCACTTATTATTTGCCCTAAGAGTTCATCAAGGGATTTTATGTTTATTTGTTTTATCCTTATAAATATTCTGTAATTAGAACTTGATTAATAAAGCTTGGATTTTAGGCTTCTAAGGAATCTTAATTTTACTATAAGTGCTCTAGCTCCATCATTCTTTAACAGACTCCTTCTTGTATTTAATAAAATAAGAAAACCCATACACACACACACACACAATAAATAAGTAAATAAAGTAAGAAAACACTATCTAATACTACCTAATCAGATGTACCATTTTTGGCATGATAGCTATTACATATGTTTTATTTCATATAGTTTGCCTTGATATTTATTTTCGTTATTTTCACTCTATCATTTGTTGAAAGTTATAACATGTAATTTTGAGGAATTAGGCTGTTTTAAAGAATTTTAAAGAATTATTATTTAATATTTTTAGCTATAAATGGACATAATACTTTTATTTATTTATTTTTATTTTTTATGTAGTGCTGAGGATTGAGCCCAGGGCCTCACATGTGTTGGGCAAGCACTCTACCACTGAGCCACAACCCCAGCCTCAAGAATTATTATTTTTAATTGTGAGAAATATGCTTTCATTTAGAAAATTTCAAATCTTGTTTTGTAATTTCAACAATAAGTTATAAAACTTGTTCCTAGTTCTAAGAATTCATATAAAAACTCTGGTCCCTTTATATTGTAGGTCTTTGTAGGCTAATTTGGGAATTTAATTAACTATTTGTTAAATTACTTCTATTGGAAAATGCATTCAGAGTTCCAAACAGGTCATTAGTAAAGTTCTAGAACTCAACCCATTCCTAATCCTAGGACTTTTCATTAAAGCTAATTAGCTTTTGCTTCAATGCTGGTTAAAGACATATTTAGTAATTACACCCAGTCTTTGTGATAATGATAAGAGTAATTCTTACCATAATTTTGTATGTAGTATACATACTCTGTTAGGATTTGTTGACTGAAAAAATCTTGACTCCCTTACCAGTGACATATGCTTACATTCCTGCTTTAGAAACTGAAAAATGACTTTGTGTCATAGCTTTAAAACAAGGATGAAGTAATTAGCTAAATAGTGATGATTTTTTTTTAAAGGAGGAATACTTCACTTTCATGAATATTTTGATTTAATTTAAACTTCTTGGTAAATTAGTGGTAATGCCAAAATTTGGCTTTTGTTTTTTAAGGAACTGGTAAGTTTGGAGCTTTATTTTTCCCTTTGGGTGCTAGGTAGACCTTAAGGCAAAATCTTTCTAAATGTGAGAAGCTTTTCCTTTTTTTCTTTGCTAGTTAACATTCTCCCAGTATGCTTACAGGTGTTACCTGAAAAATGCTCATTCTGAACTACTCAAGAACTTATTACAAATCTAATTGCATTGTACTTGGAAGGGATACTTTTTAAATAAGTTAAAATAACATTTTATATTTAGTCTTTATTGCAAGTTTTAAATAATTTCTACTTTTTTTTGGCCATGCTACTTGACTATAAATCTTTATTTTTAATTAATAAGCTGAGTTTTAAGATTTCAAATTTGTTACAAAAACAAAGATTTATAGAAAAAAGATATTGATAAAGGATAGTGTCTTATTTTTACCTTTGGAGTTTTTCTACCCTCACCTTATTATGTTCATTTATGAATCTTTCCTTTGAATATTAAGTTGTTTTGTAGTGGCTATAATTTCAGTCTGCTACTTTATGATAAAGATAATTATTAAATAATATTAATAGCAATTATTATTTCTCCTATTTTTCTGCTTATTTTCCTTCAAGCCCCCCCCCCCCCCCCCCCATTTTTAGGGCAGAACAACTGAAGCAGCCAATTTGTTTGGAAACATTTGTATAATATTATTTTCTTTGCATTAAAACCTTTCAGAAAGACACTTTTACATAATTAATATTCAATGGCCTTAAGAGATAGTGACCTCTAAAGCTTTATATTTGTGTATTTCTTGAATGAGAACTTTTGTTCATTTCCTATTTGTGGGCACTATGCAGTAGTAACAGGTAAGGGGGAGCCAACTGAACCTGGAAGTATAATCTGAGAGTTTGTAAATTTAAATAATTTTTTTTTGTGTGTGTGGTACTGGGATCAAACACAGGGGTGCTTTACCATGAGCTGTTACATCCACAGTCATTTTTATTTTTTATTTTGAGACAGGATCTCACTAAGTTGAGGCTGGCCTCCAACTTGTAGTCTTCCTGCCTCAGCCTCCCAGGTTGCTCAGATTCCAGGTGTGCACCATCATGCCCACTGAAAGTTTGTAATTCTTGAGCTAAGTTTAGTAGTAGTATGATTAGAAAATGTTGGGGTTGGTCATTCTTGGCAGAGGAATTAGCCCATAATATTTATATTCCATGTAAAATACATTTCATACCGAAGATGACTGGGAACCATTAAAGCTCTTTAAAAAGAGTAATGTCATCAGATTCATATTTAGTAACATTATCTTGGCAGTATTGTTGGGAAGAATTAGAAGGTATTGCAAGATTGATGCAAAGATGGCAGATTTTCAAAAGTGGTGATTGCCTGTATTGAAGTAGTTGTAGTGATAGACAGCAGGTTGCTTGTATTGAGAGGAGTGGAAGGGAGAGTATAGATTAAAAAGTTTTTTGAAAACTTTAGGTATGTAATCAATTACCGAAGACAATCATTGGTTTCAATGTAGTAGTTGCTTTATGAGCATATTGTTCTCTAGGAAAAGACTTAAGGTCTTTTGTTTTAATATTTTTTTAGTTGTAGATGGACACAATACCTTTATTTTACTTATTTATTTTTATGTGGTGCTGAGGATTGAACTGAGTGCCTCACACATGTTAGGCAAGTGCTCTACCACTGAGCCACAACCACAGCCCTGATTTATGGTCTTTTTTACCTGCCATCTAAGTCTTCAGGCAGCACCATACGTAATTCCCTATGTCTAATAAGTATATTATGTTAACCAAATTGCCATTAACTTGAATTTCACATTTCTCCTTTTGCTCTTCCTTCATGCTGTGTCATATGGATAATTAATTTGGACCCTTGGTAAATTTGTTTTAATATGAACATTTATTCTCATAGAAGTTGTGAAAAATGTATGTTGAAAACGGAATAGGAGCTGGGTGTGGTGGCATATGCCTGAGCAACTTGGGAGGCTGAGATAGGAGGATCTTGAGTTCAGAGCCAGCCTCAGCAAAAGTGAGGTGCTGAGTAACTCAGTATACAAAATAGGGCTGGGGATGTGGCTCATTGGTGGAGCACCCCTGAGTTCGATGCCCGGTATCCCCCCACCACAAACAAACAAATAAACCCAGAATAGGAGCTTTTGTGAAGGGAAGTAATATTTAAAAACAAAATTTTAAAAAGTAAATCTGCATATAGTTCTAGTAGTGGGCATTTGTTAGTTCCTTCCATAGCATTTATTCCTTTTTGCTACCTTTGATGGTATTCTGCACTCTCCCGTCATTTTTAGCTCTTTGAACTTGGATGAATTAATCTCTTTTTTTATTTTTTAATTTTTTTAATATCTTTTTTTTATTATTAGTTGTTCAAAACATTACAAATTAATCTCATTCCTATTTCCATGGTACCTTGAGTAGCTTAGTCTAGTTGAAATTCTTCCCATCTCTGCCACCCCACCTTTATTGCTGCCCAAGTCACATAATGTCAGTAAGTGCTCCTAGGAAGGAAAACCTTCTTCTTTCTTTTTCAATCTACTGAAAGAGACTCTCTTCTAGATAGTGTCATGAAATTTGAGGTATAGAATAGCTATAGCCATTTTGTGTAAAGATTGGAAGCAGCCTGGGGATGCACCTATCCATACAGATTCTTCCAATTTGGTACTCTTCTAGTATCATAAGCAAAGAAGAACCAAGAGGGTGAGAGAAGTGAAACAGCAGCCCTGATGGTGTGATTCTCTGGCTGTTTTCCTTTGGAGTTTTCTATTAATGAGACAGTAAAATCACTTCTCCCCTGATTATAAATGAATTTGGATTTTGATACTACTTAGAACTTTTTTTTATTCAGGTAGAAACTACTGTTTGAAAGGCATGGTGATAGACGTTAGTAATGTA